AATAAAAAAAGAAATCTAGCAGTTTTCAGGCCATTATATAACCTAGCGCTAGCATATTCATAGCCTTATTCCCTTTTGTACTGTTCTTTAACTTGCAGTCCATTTTAAGCCCTCCATTTTTCTGCCAGTCTTCAAAAATTCTGCCTTTTCTTCCCTGTCAGGCTTGGATTTCATAATAGATCATGTTAGATCACTCTCACAGTTGCTTCTGTGTCCTTAAACAGAGTTGAAGTTATCAGCAAAATCCTAAAACTAAATTAAGCCTTCTTTGTTCCTGTGCCCTCAACTTTGTGCTGAGTACCGCTGCAGCGCATTCTACAACTTTTGTATTGGTGCCACCTCAGATTCACTTTTCAGCACTAAGCTTGGACCTTGGCATTCCTTATGCTACTTTGGCTTGGTCATTGCTCTTTTTTCATTCTCTTCATTCACATTAGCAGTTACATCATACCTGTGCCACTCCGTTTAAGCTTTCTACCTAATCACCTCACTGCCCATTTTGTGAAAATATGTTGCTGAAAACGAAAAGGTATATAAATCCATGTAATTAATTTTTTTTCAGAAAATAGCTTTGAATGTAGATTTTTGTTATTATTACATGAGTATTTTTGAGCCAGGCTTCTCCATAATTTTGTATAAAGATTTTATACCTAGATGCTCTGTACAAACTATTCTTATTTGTCCCTGTAGGAATTTTTATTATGTAAACTTTTGGTCATTCACCTTCATCATCCACATCTGACTTATGTGTTTCATAAAATAGTTCAACTTGTAGGCTTAGTTTTTTGGTATAAGCCTTCCTGGTTTTAAGTGGATTTTTTGTGTGTGTGAAGGTACACTTTTCCTTTCACGTAAACAATAAAATACTTGGCATGTTAGGAAGTGCCCATTTCGAGTTTTATTTGGAACTTTCATCTGATAAAGTTTAAAATAAGTGCTTAAACTGGTTTTTAATAAGTCGAAATTTCCTGAAGGCACTTTTTCAGAATCTTTTCAGCCGACACTATCTCTCTATCAGAAAGGATTCAGGCAAACTCTGCCTAGTGTTTCTTTCCCTTTTGAGAGGTATGATTGTATTTAAACATATTAAAACTCTGTAAAGGAACCTGTTTCATTTATTTCCATCCCATATTTTACCAGGGATTCTTTTTGCAACCCTTGTAATAGCTGTTAACATTGTATTCCATTGACTTACTTTTGGAGTGCTGCTTTTTAAGGCACAGGACCTAAAATCCTAACTTATCTCATTTCTCCTACTGGGAAAATACTGTTTACATTCAGAACTGGCTGTAGATTAGAACTGCAGCTGCTGGTCTATGACACTGTCAAATACTGCTTTGATGTGCCCATTTTGAGTTTTTATTTGGAGCTACCAGTGACCAGAAAGATTTCAAGTTTGACTTTTTACTCTTTTGGATTAAGGCAAGACAAGAGGAGCAAATATGTACTCATGTTTTTAACTTGTTAAAATGCTTTTGGTTTAAAAGGAAATTATACAAAGAGTGTTGGAATGTAAATTTTGAAACTTTTTTTTTTTTTTTTTTTTTTGAGACAGAGTCTCACTGTGTTGCCCGGGCTGGAGTGCCGTGGCCTCATCTTAGCTCACAGCAACCTCAAACTC